ATTTACTTAAACACTCGATGTGACATCATGTGATGTCAGGCGTGATGTCGCGAGGTGACGTCGGCAGCATTGTGACGTCAGCAGACATTTCGAGGTGACAGGCAGACATCATGACATCATGAAGTCGGGCAGCATCGTGGATGATGTCAATGTGATACGGGCAGCAGACCACAGCATGAGGCCTGGGACATCAGGCTTGGTAAACCATGTGGCTTGTAGATCCACGTGACATAGCCCACACCCCACGTGGCGTCACGATCTACGTGGCATGCTGATCCACATGGCTTGCTGATCCACATGGCTTGCTGATCTACGTGGCTGTCTGATCCACGTGGTTTGCTGATCCATGTGGCTTGCTGATCTACGTGGCATGCTGATCCACGTGGCTTACTGTTCCACATGGTTTGCTGATCCACATGGTTTGCTGATCCACGTGGCATGCTGATCCACCTGGCATGCTGATCCATGTGGCTTGCTGATCTACATGGCATGCTGATCCACATAGCTTTGAGTGGCCTCGGGCCCTTGGATACATAGCTCTGGCAATGAATTCACACGAAAAACAGCAGAAAACACAGCAGAGGGAGTGGGCAGTGGTGAGTGTATAGTAGACTGGTGAGGTGTGAGTAGGGCGAGCATGGGTGAGTGTATGGCAAGGGAGGATCTGGCCACTTCCTCCTCTCCCACCCACAAACACGTGGAGAAGCTCACACTGGACGCAGAAATCACCACAAAACTCACCTCTGGCTTGCTGAAATAGCTGTGCTGAGCTGAACAACAACAGCAGAACATATAAGTGACGCTGAACACGTGACTTGAGAAACAGCATGGGACGCTGTAGCGTGAGCTCACTGGGACGCCACTTACAATTCTCGAAGAAATTCGGTAAATTTCGGCTGGATCCTGCTTGTACCTGTGTCTGGATGCTGAAACGTGCAGACACGACATGAGGATAACTCGTTGAGAGACGGATGCTTCTTGTATAGGGTGATGAAGTGAAGATGACTTCATCCCTTCCTCTCTCTGGGCAGACACAAATGCTGCGCCACCGACCACCGCTTCCCACCATTTATAACGAGATTATTTGGTAAGCGGTGGTTAATGATAGACGTCTTCGGAGGCTTCTTACTTTATTTGCTTTATATATATATATATATATTTATTTATATTTATTTATATTTATTTATATTTATTTATATATATATATATATATATATATATATATATATATATATATATATATATATATATATATATATTATATATATATATACATGCAATAAGATCACAGTAAACAGGTGATTTCAGAATATGCAAAACAACCACTGTGAAAGAATAGAGAAATTCCAAGCGCTTTCGTGACTACTCACATTATCAATGTGAGTAGTCACGAAAGTGCTTGGAATTTCTCTATTCTTTCACAGTGGTTGTTTTGCATATATATATATATATTATATATATATATTATATATATATATATATATATATATATATATATATATATATATATATATATATATATATATATATATATATGCAAAACAACCACTGTGAAAGAATAGAGAAATTCCAAGCACTTTCGTGACTACTCACATTGATAATGTGAGTAGTCACGAAAGCGCTTGGAATTTCTCTATTCTTTCACAGTGGTTGTTTTGCATATTCTGAAATCACCTGTTTACTGTGATCTTATTGCATGTGTATATATATATTATATATATATATATATATATATATATATATATATATATATATATATATATATATCAATAACAACACTGCGCTAGCCAAGGATTCGAACCCATATTGTATTGGCCTGCCTCATGGTAAGCGAGAACCACACGTTGCTTTAAACCACAGGACCACCCAACCTTACAAGAATGGTGCAGCCAGCACACAGCTAGCTGTTGGGCCGCCATCCGAGGGCATACGGAGGTGTGGGAGCTTCTAAGCTAATTTCATTCTCATCCCTGTTTGGTGTACTAGCCTCACGAGCAGCATTTATATATTATTGTAACCAAGAATGAGTGGTATTGATCAATAACAACACTGCGGTAGCCAAGGATTCGAACCCATGCTGCTCGTGAGGCTAGTACACCAAACAGTGATGAGAATGAAATTAGCTTAGAAGCTCCCACACCTCCGTATGCCCTCGGATGGCGGTCCAACAGCTAGCTGTGTGCTGGCTACACCATTCTTGTAAGGTTGGGTGGTCCTGTGGCTCAAAGCGTAATGTGGTTCTCGCTTACCATGAGACAGGTCAGTACAACATGGGCTCGAATCCTTGGCTAGCGCAGTGTTGTTATTGATCACTACCACTTGTTCGTGGTTACAATAATATTATATATATAAGGTAGTAGGTTGGTAAACAGGTACTACCATCCTGCCAAGTGACTGTACAACGAAAACCTGTAATTGTTTTACATGATGGTAGGATTGCTGGTGTCTTTTGTCTGTCTCATAAACATGCAAGATTTCAGTTATGTCTTGCTACTTCTACTTGCACTTAGGTCACACTACACATACATGTACAAGCATATATATACACACCCCTCTGGGTATTCTTCTATTTTCTTTCTAGTTCTTATTCTTGTTTATTTCCTCTTATCTCCGTGGGGAAGTGGAACAGAATTCTTCCTCCGTAAGCCATGCGTGTTGTAAGAGGCGAATAAAAATGCCGGGAGCAAGGGGCTAGTAACCCCTTCTCCCGTATAAATTACTAAATTTAAAAGAGAAACTTTCGTTTTTCTTTTGTTGCTGGGTAATCCATACTCTCCCTGGGTAATCAACTGTCTCCCTGAGTAATACACTTTCTGGGTAATCCATTCTCTCCCTGGGTAATCCACTCTCTCCCTGAGTAATCCACTCTCTCGCTGGGTAATCCACTCTCTCCCTGAGTAATCCACTCTCTCCCTGAGTAATCCACTCTCTCCTTGGGTAATCATTCTCTCCCTGGGTAATCCACTCTTTCCCTGGGTAATCCACACTCCCTGGATAATCGACACTCTCCCTGGGTAATCCACACTCCCTGGGTAATCCGCTCTCTCAGGCAATCCACACTCTCGCTGGGTAATTCACTCTCGCTGGGTAATTCACTCTCGCTGGGCAATTCACTCTCGCTGGGCAATTCACTCTCCCTGGGTAATCCACTCATTCCCTGAGTAAACCACTATCTCTCTGAGTAATTCACTTTCTCCCAGGGTAATCCATTGTCTCCCAGATTATTATTATTATTATAATCAAAAAGAAGCGCTAAGCCACAAGGGCTATACAGCTTGTCTCCCAGAATAATCTACTTTCTCCCTGGGTAATCCATTGTCTTCCTGGGTAATCCATTGTCTCCCAGAGTAATTCATTGTCTCCCTGGATAATCCATTGCCTCCCTGGATAATCCATTGTCTCCCTAGGTAATCCATTGTCTCCCTGGGTAATCCATTGTCTACCTGGGTAACCCATTGTCTCCCTGGGTAATCCATTGTCTCTGAGTAATTCATGGTCTTCCTGAGTAATGCAGTGTCTCCCTAGGTAATCCATTGTCTCCTTGAGCAATTGATTGTCTCCCTGGGTAATCCATTGTCTCCCTGGGTAATTTATTGTCTCCCTGGGTAATTTATTGTCTCCCTGGGTAATCCATTGTCTACCTGGGTAATCCATTGTCTCCCAGAGTAATCCATTATCTCCCTGTGTAATCCATTGTCTCCCTGTGTAATCCATTGTCTCCCTGTGTAATCCATTGTCTCCCTGTGTAATCCATTGACTCTCTGGATAATCGCAATAGAAATGTTAAATGAAAATGAAATATGAACAATTAAACTTTCAGCAGCAGAAAACTGACTTTATATCTTATGTCTAAAATTTTTGCATTGCAAAAAGATATCACTGGCGAGGAGATATGGAAGGCGGCTCTTCCATATCTGTTTATTTATATTTCCCTCTTACTTCATATCTGAATGTTATCTGGAATATGCATCAAGATAAAGCAGTGACTTTTATCTTACATCAAAGAGCATTTGTTAAATTTTAAAGCAGAAATTAATAATACTTTTATATAAGCTTAGAGAAAAATTTGATTTCAATTATTTTCTCTTAATACTGTTGGGCCCTGCTTTACGGCGCTTGTTTTACAGTGTTTTGCTAATGCAGCAGTTTTCAGTTATAGCCAGTCTTCACTTATTCAGACTTCTTCTAGTATATATATTCACCATTCACTATAAGTTAAGGCTGAAAATATTTTAACTTATGTGTGTATTGTATATGCATTTTTTAGGTCTAGCTCTACTGCTTATTTAACATATGGGTGCTACTTTGGCTTGTTATCTACGTGTCATGAATCTACTTTGTCATGCGATCTACACCTTATATTGCAATCAACACGGTACCTAACCTAACCTAGGTTAGGTTAGGTCAGGTCAGGTTAGGCAAGGTACCGTGTTGATTGCAATATAAGGTGTAGATCGCAATGTAAGTGTATATATCATTTTCCTTGTAGATAACAAGCCAAAGTAGCACCAATATATGATAGTGGAAACATTTTATCAGGCTTTTATATGCATTTGAAAGTGAAAAAAAGGCTATGTCGTACTTAACTGCAATTTCCACTTTACAGCAGCAACTGCTGTATAAGCAGAGCCTCCTGTATAAAAAGTTTAATTGACTAATTAACATTAAAATCTGTAAGAGCTAAGTAACAAAAACTTTCTCTGTCGTACTAACTTCATAGTAATAGTAAATATTTGTGTGTATTCGTTTTCTTTTCATTGAAGTTAATTAAAGTGCTTATCATGCTTTTCAGATTAATGTGTATTTACCTTATATTGTGAAGAAACTGTTAGACCATTAATACTTCGCTACAGCTGGGAGTAATTATTCAGGCAAGTTTTTTCATGTATATTTTTATGTCAGTATGTATAATGGTTTGGAAAAATATTCATGAAATTTATGTATAAATTGCAATGTTTATCTCTGTATATTAGTGAGATTTTAAATACAGTGAATATAACCAGGGGAAGCGAAGGAGTTTCTGCCGCCCAGCAACAATGGTCGCACCGTTCCAAATTGGTGAGCCTTTACGTTCCTTTGTGCGAGTACCAAGTTCTTCCTCAAAGACGAGTGGTAAACCAGTAGCATGTGACCTCTCGCGTATGTCTACCATCACCATGGTGAACCCTAACAGACAAGTCCTCATGCACCCATCACTGCCACAGCCTAGCATATGTGCCCAGGGTACATATGCTAGGGTACATGAGGTGGTAGTACCAATGACTACCACCGCTGATTAACAACACCACCAGAAAGAAAATATTCCACAGAAAGAAAATTTTCTCATCCGACTGCTGCACAAAGATCTTACACATTAATAAGCGCAATACCTCTCTTATGAGAAAAACAAATGATCTTCATTTTATCTTAAATGTTTTAGTCTGTTTTTTTTTTTTTTTTTTTGATAAAATAAAAAAAAATAAATTAATCTTGCTGACTGCAATTTTGTTTTGCTATGTACGTAAGTAAAATGTGCAAAAAAAAAAAAAAATTACAGATTAAATTCATGCATAAGGTAATCTTTTTCTTGTATTCAATTATAAATAAAACATTTTATTAAAAGAACAGTAGTAAAAATAGTATTTATGGACTCTGACTGTTCCAGAAAATGCAGACCGAATCATTAAGTATGATTGATCTTGTAAATGATTTTATAGTGTACATCCACTACTACCACCAGTCTCATTATAGTGTACATCCACTACTACCACCATCATCATTATAGTGTACATCCACTACTACCACCAGCTTCATTGTGTACATCCACTACTACCACAAGCTTCATTATAGTGTACATCCACTACTACCACCAGCCTCATTATAGTGTACATCCACTACTACCACCATCATTATAGTGTACATCCACTACTACCACCACCATCATTATAGTGTACATCCACTACTACCACCACCATCATTATAGTGTATATCCACTACTACCACCAGCCTCATTATAGTGTACATCCACTACTACCATCACCATCATTATAGTGCACATCCACTACTACCACCAGCATCATTATAGTGTACATCCACTACCACCAGCTTTATTATAGTGTACATCCACTACTACCACCAGCATCATTATTGTGTACATCCACTACTACCACCATCATTATAGTGTACATCCACTACTACCACCAACATCATTATAGTGTACATCCACTACTACCACCATCATCATTATAGTGTACATCCACTACTACCACCATCATTATAGTGTACATCCACTACTACCACCATCATCATTATAGTGTACATCCACTACTACCACCAGCATCATTATAGTGTACATCCACTACTACCACCAGCATCATTATAGTGTACATCCACTACTACCACCAGCATCATTATAGTGTACATCCACTACTACCATCATTATAGTGTACATCCACTACTACCACCAACATCATTATACATCCACTACTACCACCAACATCATTATAGTGAACATCCACTACTACCACCAACAGCGTCATTACTAGTGCTTACATTTGCTCTCCTTTGCAGAATCTCATGTTGTCTCTTCATAGCGAGGAATCTTTTGGATTTTTGGTGATAGAAGATTTCTGAGACATGTTTAATTTTTTTAGGTTATGCTTTGATCCGGGATATGTTTCTCTATTTGACTTCTTCATGTAAAGTTGGCAATGAGTAATTTTGAGGACAGACTGTATAATCATCTGTTAGATTGTATAAAGTCCTTTCTAGAAGCCAAGTAACTATCCAATTCTTCGAAGACCACTCTTCAGGCACCTCCAGCAATGTCCCAGACTTGCTTCCCAGCTTTGCCTGGATCTAGTGGGACTCTTCAGGTCTCTTCCACCGGTTCCAATGTTTGGAATTCTGCCCCTCTTGGAGTGCCCCAATCTAACCCTCACCTACAACATACACAATGGCAACTACGAGGTCCATCCTCACCTCCCATGTCTCAGGTACCCTCAGCCGGGGGATATGACGAGAGCCCAACTAATGTATATGATGGCCAAGGACATAGCAGGTGGTGACATTCAACTCTGCTCTAATATTTTTAATGATTTGTAAATGGCTAATGGGATCACTCCCATTACTATCCCAGATAATGTTAAGGTTATTATGGCCCAGCCCTCTCAAAACAGGAAGTATGTGCCCTACTCTACCTCTACAAATACGCCTAATTCATACCTTGTTCAGGGACCACCCGCCTCGCATACCCAGGTTGTCAACTCATACCCAGGTTGTCAACTCCCCTCAACCCGAGGAGTCAATACCTGACCCTAACCATGCCCCAGAGATTGATGCTTACGCTTCCGCTATTGCAGCTGATCCTGTTGAACAGGAACTTTCCCAGGGTAATTCACCTGGCCTACCAAATTTTCCCTTGGAGCCTCCGCAGTCTCCCATTAACTCTCACGAGCCTCTGCTTCCTGAAACTGGGAATATCACACCTCAATTTCCTGATGATGACTCTAATGACTTTAATGATTCTGTTAATATTACCAACTCTAGTGAGGATGGTGACACTTTTGGTACACAAGCAACTACTCAGAATTTCCCTCCTCCCCTTGACGAGTCCAGCAGGGATAGTGTGTATACCAAACATGAATTTACTTGCAGACGTTCAGACCGCAGTACACGTGTGAAGCGCAAGAAATAATGGGGATTACAATTTTCCAACTTAATGTTCAACAAAGAATGACTCTCCCACAGATGGTGCGACACTTCATCCATAAGGACGATTACCATCGACCAATGATCTTGACCAACCTCCCTGCAGATGAAGATGATTGGGTAACACCAGAACCCTTCCATGTCTACTAAGAAAATTATCGCCCCTAATTAGGGAGATATCTTGTATAACATTTCTACTTTTATATCTACTATGGCGGGACACCACCTTGAAACAAGCTAACATGTCAAGTAATTCTTCATGAGTTCTGTAGACAATTACCGCCTTGCCTTGCCGTTTAAATATTCGTTATGTAACTTGTATATCTACTACCAATTCAGAGTCTTGTACCTATATATCTGTTATATCTATGTGACTCTGATGGGTTAGTATTATACCCCTTCAAGAATTTTCTATTATTACACACACATAGTTTTTAAATTGCACCAAAGTGGTTGTGTTACTTCTCTTTTATATCCTACCTCACTCCCCCCTCCCACCCTTTTCCAATATTTCTATCCTTACCCATCCTTCTTCCTTACCCATCTTACCAAAGACTCTGGTCATAAGAAATTTTCAATTGATGTTCGAGATAAGCTCTCTAAGGCAGGTTTTGCTATCGACTGTGCTCCTGACCATAAGGCCAGGAGCACAGTTGTGGCAAAATTTGTGGACTCTTCACTGATTACTGACTATGAACGTGACAAAGTTGCTTTGATGACTGACATCTCTTCACAAAACCAGGTTACAGTTGAGTAACTCTTTCACCCTGCAAATTCCAAAGTCCTTAAAATCAGATGTTCTACCCCAGCAGAGGTTGATATGTTGTTTAAACATGGTGTTCGTGCCAACTACTTCATTCATCCACCCACTTCACTGTTTCTTCCTATGCTCTGTTCATCAGTGTTTCAAATGCCTTCACTTTGGACATTTAAAGAGTGCTTGTTACAAGTAACAGCTATGTTCCAAGTGGTGTTCTACAGGCCAGACATGGCAGAAATGTACTAGCCCTCCCCATTGCTTGCACTGCTCTCAGGCGCATTCTGCTACTTCTTTTCAATGCCCTTCTCATAAGGAATATGTTTCCTCCTTATGCAAAGACCAACCACTTAACCTTCCAAACCCTGTCTTGACTCCATTCCCATAACCACAGTCAACACCTTCCACAAATTCCCAACCTACTACTTCTGTTCCTTCTGCTTCCTCTTCAGCTTACCCTTCTTATGCTGCTGCCGCCCACACTCATCTCCCCATTGCTCCTTCGCCCTCTAAGCAATCTAATGTTCTCGAGACTATTGTGTTCACTGCTGTATACTGTTCTAAAGCATTCAAGGAAGTAAATTACCCCACTCTTCTAAATGATCTTCTCAAAGCAAATAACTTAGATCCCATCACTTTCCCTCCTGACTTCTCTCTTCCCACTGCAGAACTCTTTCCCACTACCATTCTCTCCTCTCCTGTAACTCCTCTTAGGGTTAATATTCCAGCAGATCCTTCTCCTCCTACTCGCCTGCCCCGCTCCTCTCTTCCCATTCCCTCCACTAGCTCAGGCTCCAGTACTGGATGACCTCAACCTTGTTCTGCTACTACTCGTCACTCTCGTTCCCCTAATCCCTCTCATAGGTCTCGTTCTCTTACCTTGCAACCCACTTTCACTGACTCTCCTAATTTCAATAAGAATTTGGCTACAGTTAATACCCTATTAAACCAACCCTCTACCTTCTCCTCTCTCCCCACCACCTCCTCTCGCCCCACCTCCTCATCTCGTCCTACCTACTCCTCTCGCCCCCCCTCCTCTTCTTGCCCAACCTCCTCCTCTCCTCCCTGTTCTGACCCCAAGCACCATCGTAAAGACACACGACCTATCAAGAACAGATCAACTGAAGGTATAGTTATGATAGGTTATCCTGATAAATACATGAAAGACATCTATCTCCCACCTTCAGATAAACCCAACCACGGCCCTTAAGATTATTCAATTTAATATACGAACTTACAACACAGACAAACACATTCTTGCTGAACTCGTTGAGTCTGAACGTCCAGTCGTGTTGCTGTTAAACAGCACGTGTTTGCGTGATGATCAATGTGTCAAACACTTAGGATACATAACCGGTCAATCCCCTGCCGACAACTGGAATGGCATAGCTATTCTTATCCCTCCCATTTACAAATTCTCACAGCATGGCTGTGAAAATTTACACAATACATGGTCCCATTATACTCTACACGACTTATATTAGACCTAACCAAAACATTAACATTCATGATCTAACCATACTTTTTAATCACACACATCTCCCTGTATACCTCCTTGCCGACCTCATTGCCAAACACACGGCCTTCCATGACAACTACACCAACCTGCATAGTAGGCAACTTCATACTCTTGTAACACAAAAACATCTCATTCACCTTGGTCCTTACTTCCCCACTGTCTTCACACATAATGGCCAAGGCACTCCTGACAGAATTTTCACAAACAGAGCCACTACTCACCTACACCATTTCACAACACCTGGCCCACTTTCCGGCTCTGACCACCTTCCTGTCATTCTCCATATTTCTTCAAACCCCATACTCGTTCCTGTTCGCCCCTCTCCAGGTTACTCTCAGGTGGATTAAGACGTGTTCAAACAACACCTTAACACTACATCTCACACACAACTATGACAATAGGCCAGTATCAGACATAGACACACAAATTCAATGCATCCAACAGTACATTACCCAAGCCGCTGCAGTGGCTGTGCCAATGACACACTACAAAGTTCGCTACTCTTTCCGCCCTTCAGATAGAACAAAAAGACTGCTCACTTGTTATAGACACCGTTTCCTTGCTAACCAAAACAGACTTAATATTATCCTCTGGGATCTAACTATCTTATGCGTACATATCATTCATAGCCTCGATGAAGACCATGCTAGACATTGGCAGTCTCTCATAAACACTACTGATGCTAAGCGTACAAAAGATCCCAAAACATTCTGGACCTTCATTCGGAGAATCATGGGCACCCCTTCATCTACGTCCTTCGAGTTGCAGACACATCTCTGACCCTACTGAGGCTGTCCACATTTTCAAAGATATATGGGAACACATCTTCCACCCACATCCTCCAGACCCAGCTGCCATAGCACACACATTAGACATTGAGCGATGGGTCTCTAATCACGAAGACTTAACCATTCCTGATCCTATCATAACTCTAAACACACTCCCCTCCACTCTTAACTCTCCTTTTTCTGTAGCTGATGCTCATTCTCTATCAGCCCACCTTCCCGAGAAAGCTCCTGGTGCTTCTTGTCTCTCACATTCTGACCTCTTTAATGCTTCTCTTGCATTTGAATATTTCCCTCCATTCTTCAAATCTGCTACTGTATGCCTCATCCCTAAACCTGGTAAAGGCTTGACTGACCCCAAGAACTATAGACCTATTAGCCTCCTTGAAATTTTGGGTAAGACCTTTGAACGACTTGTAAATATGCGACTCAGGACTCGCCTCGAGACAACTTACTTACCGAGCAACAATTTGGTTTCCAACAGCATCACTCTACCCAAGACGTTTTGAACATTATCCTGAATTATATACGCATAAACAAGGCCCAAAACTGTACCACCTCCCTTGTCACCAAAGATGTTGAAAAAGCTTTTGACACTGTTTGGCATGATGGATTAAAATCTAAACTTTGTACCTCCTTTTATCTCACATTAAATATGATGAAATTGTTATGTAACTTTTTAGACGGCCGTACCATATGATACGTATACGATTCAGAGATCACTATTCTGACTATTTCACCTTACATGCAGGTGTTCCCCAAGGCTCTGTCCTATCTCCCACACTATATATTCTCTACACTAACGATTTACCAGAACCACTTTACCCTACCACACTTACACTCTCCTACGCAGACGACATTACTCAGCTCGCAGCACATGGAAACATTAGATTCCCTGCACGCAGAACACAACGAGAGGTCGACAGGATTGCTGCTTGGGAATTATTATGGCGAATTAAGACCAACCCTAATAAGTCAAAGATCACCTATTTTCATAGAAGGTGCGGGGTCCCGGCTCCTGTTGAACTCAAAACAAGCACCTCCCGCACTTTTATCTCACGCTCCCCATCCACAGTTACCCTTGGGGTTACCCTTGACACTAGCCTGACTCTCAAAACTCACATTACTGCCAAGACTGGAATGGCTGGGATTGCGCTCTCGAGGCTAAATAAGCTGCGAGTGAAACTGCTGCACTTATTTGTTTCCTTTGATTAGCAGTTGGGTCTAGTCCTGACACTTTTCCTCCTTTCTTCGATATTTCCTCTCCCCTACCTATTCTTCATCCTGTTCCCACTTGCACCTCGCCCAGAACTCTCAGGTAAGGACCCAGTGAATCCTTACCTGTGAGTCCTCTGTTCAGTTCTGTTCTGAAAAAGAAGTGAGAGCAGATAAATTACAATGTGTCTTAGGTCATTTATGATAAGAGGAATCAAAATTCTCTTTCTGTTAAATTGCTGATAAACTTCTTTAGCATAAGTAAAGTCACTTCTTGAAAATTAAAAAAAAAAACTGTGGTCTGTTTTGTTATGCAATAATTTTACAAACATAAACGGCTGCTGTTTTCAACATCTTGTTTATCTGGTTCTTGAAATGGGGATTTAAAAAGTCAGATAAAGCAATAAAGTATTTAAGAGAAACACCCATTCCAATGTCTCTGGTAAAAAGAAAAGTATTTTTTCCAAATTTATTTAATTCTGATGTGATTTGTTCAGAGGAAGATTGTAACCCTTGACCATGAGTGCTTACTGACTGTGGGTATAAGTTTGTTCAGAGGAAGATTGTAATCCTTGACCATGAGTGCTTACTGACTGTGGGTATAAGTTTGTTCAGAGGAAGATTGTAACCCTTGACCATGAGTGCTTACTGACTGTGGGTATAAGTTTGTTCAGAGGAAGATTGTAACCCTTGACCATGAGTGCTTACTGACTGTGGGTATAAGTGACCAACAGCCTTTTAGAATTATGCTTCTCTTTTCCTTACTCTGTTACCTCAAGGGGAAACACAGTGCTCTTGTGGATGTATGTAGGTATACACAAACTCTTGTGGATGTATGTAGGTATACACAAGCTCTTGTGGATGTATGTAGGTATACACAAATTCTTGTGGATGTATGTAGGTATACACAAGCTCTTGTGGATGTATGTAGGTATACACAAGCTCTTGTGAATATATGTGGGTATATACAAGTTGTTTAAAGATTTAAGAAAATATCTTTGTTGAATCATTACTTGTAAAAATATTGTCACCCGTATATAACTAGAAGTCTTGTTGGGTGTTCATAATGTTTCAGTTATAAATGAAAAGCAACTGTCGGTAAAATTAGTATATAATATATAGCTGTGTGCTATATATTATATACCTATATGCTTTGTTATTTTTATAAGTGTTGTATTGCAGTTGCTTGGCTCTAGATCTAGTGGTTTTATAGCGTTTCATGTACTCCATTTACACTAGTGTGTCTGTTAGCCTGTGCTTATTATGATATATACAGTTCTATTAGTTAGGATGTTAGCAACTTGCTGTGAAAAATTCAGATACTAGAGCCCTTGGTTTATTGGATTTAAAGCCGTCAACTACATAGTTCTTTTATGGGTGTGTATTACATGTTATGAATCATTTAAGAATATTGTAACCTCCAAACAGAGTTAAAGTGCATTACCTAATATGTACTTCATGGTGTATGTAACTTTGTTCTGAAAGCCTCATTCAAATTAAACTAAATATTCTGTCAAACTTAAATCTGTTTGCTTGTAGTTGATATATTATGTCTCAGTTACTAAAAATATAATTTGATAAGTAATAAAATCATCACAAAGCATAATCATGTTTTATAATTTTACAATTTATTGTAATGAATAATAAAAATTGTTGTGTAATGATTTTATTTTCCGGAACAATAAATCACACTCGCAAAACTGCTAATGTCTTCCTAGTCCAAACTCTGCTGTCCCCACCAAGGTCACTCAGACCCAACACAAGAGATATCAGCGTATTCCATACTAGCACTATAAGTTACTGGCACCATTACTTGTTGCCACTTTTCCTGGCACCATTCCTTGCTGTCACTTTTCCTGGCACCATTCCTTGCTGTCACTTTTCCTGGCACCATTCCTTGCTGTCACTTTTCCTGGCATCATTCCTTGCATTTACTTATTCATCCTCTGCCTGTTCTGCCTTCTCCACCTCCGTCTACCTTCTTTCCTCTTCTTCTTTCCCTTTTCATATTGCTTTCATCTTCCATCGTTCTTTCGCACACAGGAACAGTCAGTAACTGCTCAATATCTTCTCTCATCAATATTCCAATCACGCTGAAACCCTCCATACATCAAAGTGAAGCCCCGAAGCCTTCCAAGTAACGCTCTCAGCTAGCAGGCTTCTCTCCTCCTCCTCCTCCTCTTCATCCACTTCCCTCATTCATCTCCATTACAGAGAAGATGACAAAAATAAAGTCCGGGCATGGTTCACCTGGGACTAAAATGGCCAGAACAACACTTCATGGCATCTCCGAATCGCGAGAATTCTATTTATTGTATCTATGTTCTGTTTATACATTCAGTAATTTAGTTGTGGTATATTTAAAACAAATTTACTGATTTATCATTATTTTTATAAATTCTATCTGAAGGATTTTTAGATAAACAGGAGAGTGATCTTCTCTTCGTCTTTCGCAATGCTGATCGATTTTCTCACGCTACACAGCTAAGGAAAGAGTTTGTGTATATTCTTTACACGCACAGAGATGTTATCTTGCTTCAGCTAATTTCAAGCATAACTTTTGCAGTATCATAATTATGCGTTATTTCCAAATTAAATAATTCTTGTAATATTAACCAACACATGGATAAGTTAAAGGGTAAAACTATAACCATTAATGTGGTAAATACATGTTCCAAATCTTCTACTTCTTGGAATGAGTTATCACCGATGGAGTTACAATTCTTGAGAAAAATAGTCCTTTAGGCTGCTGATGGCTGCCAGTCATGTCGTTTATTGGTTGTCTTCGATAACTGTCTGACATTTCTCTGGTCTTCAAGCCAAGCCTAAGCAACACTAACGAACGTAATTATTTTTATAACCTTCATCTTAGGAGCGAACGATTTGTGATACCAAAGTTTGGTGTTCAAGGTCACTTTCTGACGAATGTACTAGCTTTTCACCAGCTTCCCACTTACCACTTTTGACCATATGTTCATTAAATGACAAAGAGGTCGGTGAAAGGGGTCCCCAAGGCATCATACGTATTTATGACTTTCGCGGTATTGTAAAATCTCATTTCATGGCCAGAAACGCTTTAAGAAGGATTTATAGTTGCAACTAACCTAGTCATGTGCCGTTATTTCATCCAGTTGAAAATAGGGAATATGGACGAAAACTGGGGCCTGATTACACTGGTCAACAATTTTTGAAAAGTTGTATGCTTCTTAAATCAGTTAATTCTTATGTATTTTCATGTCCTGAATCCAAATATCACCTTGAAAAATGCTTATTGGCTATAGGTTTAAAGATACGAGACATGTAATATTAGATTATTTTATTATAACGTACGATATGTGTCAGTATGTTTTAAACTCTAATCCGTACCTACTTGTTGCTTGGCCTGAAGAATCATCTCTTGTCAATGTCCAGCAAGAGTAAAAGCATTCTTGTGCCCCATTTGCCCTAGTACCATTTTTCCATGGTTGAAATACCTTAGTGAAACCTTTCACCATGTTCGTCACTAACTGCCCCACAGTTCGCTAAATGTGAGTCCAAAAAGTGGATGGATTTTAAGTGACATGTTATATCCCATGTTCTTGTAAGCCTGAGGACCATTGAAGACTCCCTCGCTTATCTTAGCGTCGCTCAGTAAAGGGAATTTTGATGTTAAATCCTTGAATCCCTGTAAAGATTTGTCCACAGTTTTTACAAAGTTTTTCATGAGCCCCAGTTTTATGTGCAATGGTGGTAGCAAAATTTGGTTCAATGAGAGGTGGATGTTGAACATTTTTTATCCCAGGCTCCAGTGACTGACGAGGTGACCGATCTCTCCTGATGTAGTGGGAACCTCTTGCACGGCTGTCCCATTCACAAAGAAAGCAGCAATACTTGGTGTATCTGCCCTGCAAGCCCATCACAAGCGCAACAACATGATGTCCGCCTGAAGTCTTGCAGTGTCTTCAATGGAGGACACTGTCAGGCAAATTCTGGTGTCATTTGCAAAGGAAGAAACTGCGCTGTGGCTTATATCCCTGTTTATGTCCGATATGAGGATGAGGAACAAGATGGGGGAGAGTACTGTGCCTTGTGGACCCCTCGAAGAAGGTTCCTTGATGTTGGTGAGGGGCTCTTAATTTAGGGAATTGGATCTGTGCTCCAGTTCCCCGAATTAAGCCTGAATGCCTTCCACATCTCCCCCTAGGCGCTGTATAATCCTCCGGGTTTAGCGCTTCCCCCTTAATTATAATAACAATAATGTGCCTTGTGGAACAGAACTTTTCACCGTAGCTGCCTCAGACTTAACTCTGTTGACTACTAGTCTTTGTGTTCTATTTGTCAGGAAATTATAGATCCATCTACCGACTTTTCCTGTTATTCCTTTATCACGCATTTTGTGTGCTATTACACCATGGTCACACTTGTCAAAGGCTTTTGCAAAGTCTGTGTATATTAAATCTGCATTCTGTTTGTCTTCTAGAGCATCCAGAACCTTGTCACAGTGGTCCAGTAGTTGGGACAGACAGGAGCGACCTGCTCTAAACCCATGTTGCCCTGGGTTGTGTAATTGATGGGTATCTAGATGAATGGGGATTTTGCTTCTTAGGACCATTTCAAAAAAATTTATGATATGGACGTTAGCGCTATCGGTCTGTAGTTCTTTGCTATTGCTTTACTGCCACTTTTGTGGGGTGAGGCTATGTCTGTTGTTTTTAGTAACTGTGGGACGACCCCAGTGTCTATGCTCCTTCTCCACAGGATGTTAAAGCACATGGCAGGGGCTTCTTGCAGTTCTTGATGAACACGGAATTCCATGAGTCTGGCCGTGGGGCAGAGTGCATGGGCATGTCATTTATCGCATTTTCGAAATCATTTGGCGTCAGGATAATATCAGATAGGTGTGTGTCTACCAACTTCTGTCTCTCTCTCATAAAAAAATCATTTAGGTTTTCAACTCTCAGTCTGGTTAGTGGCTCGCTAAAAACCGAGTCATATTGGGACTTAAGTAGTTCACTCATTTCCTTGCTGTCATCTGTTTAGGATCCATCCCGTTTAAGTAGGGGCCCAATACTGGATGCTGTTCTAGACTTTGATTTGGAATAAGAGAATAAATACTTTGGGTTTCTTTCAATTTCATTTATGGCTTTTAGTTCTTCTCACATTTCTTTACTCCTGTAAGATTCCTTTAGCTTTAGTTCGATGTTTGCTATTTCTCTGGCCAATGTCTCCCTACGTTATTGCAGATGTATTGGTTTCTTGTAGCCGCTCTGTTATTCTTTGCCTTCGCCTGTATAGGGAGTGCCTTTCTCTTTCTAGTTTACATCTCCTTTTCCTTATGGGAATATGCCCTGAGCCCTCAAGTGCAAGAGACAGAGGGTAAGATCCGTGTTGCTTAGTCTATCTTCCCAGTTTATATCATTTAGGACTTGGTTTACTTGGCCCCACCTCATGTTTTTGTTAGTGAAGTTGAGTTTGGTGAAAGCTCCCTCGTAACTGATCATATTTTGTAGGTCTGGGTCTCCCGGTATACATGTTTGGACCTCTATTATGTTGTGATCTGAGTATATTGTTTTTGATATAATGACATTTCGTATCAGATCATCATTGTTAGTAAAGATGAGGTCCAGTGTATTCTCCTATGTTGTAGGCTCCATTATTTGCTGGTTTAAGGTGAATTTGGGGCAGAGATTTAAAAGCTCGTGTGTGTGCGAGTATGCAGCGACAGGAAGGAACCCACACTGGTCAAGCACTCAGCTCCGAGACAAGACTAGTCCCGGAGCTGAGGGGTTTGTCCTGCGAAGAGAGGTTAAGGAACTCAACCTGACAACACTGGAGGACAGGTGGGATGGGGATGATATGATAACGACATATAAAATTCTGAGAGGAATTGACAAGATGGATGGAAACAGAATGTTTCAGAGATGTGACAGAGTAACAAGGGATCACAGCTGGAAGCTGGAGAACTCGGATGAGTCACAAGGATGTTAGGAAGTATTTCTTCAGTCATAGAGTGTCAGGAAGTGGAACGGTCTGGAGAGAGATTAGTGGAGGCAGGATCCATACATAGCTGTAAGAAGAGGAATGATTAAGCTTGTGGAGCTTAATGTAGAGGACGGCCAGGAGCTATAGATCGACCCCTGCAACCACAATTAGGTAAGATCACACACACACACACACAAAGACCGGTGCTGTTTCTAGTTGTTGCAACCCCTGAATGGGTTGCAATATATATAATGTGTACTATGATTAAGAATATGTATATATATAATGTATATTACCTTTTCTTATAATTTTATATTGCTTATATTTGCGATAATAGCTAAATCGTAAATATATTGCTTTATATTATTATTTGACTTAGCTAAATTTTATGAGGTAGGATGTAACATATTATGTGCTCAGTTCAAGTCTTGATTGTCTAACTACTGTAATTATCGCTTGTGGCTCGTTAGACTGCCGGCTTCTTGCTGGGCAGCGACCCACGGAGCTATCACGTGATCGAAGGGGGGGGTGTCCTCACCTCGCCTGAAGTATTCAGTCTGGTCTAGACTCTCTTGGTGGTTGGACAGATTGTCTGTCTCATTATTCTTGTTAGTTCTGTAGAACTCTGTTCACAGAACATTGTATAGACTTGGTGATTTTCGACGTTGTACTGAGGTTGTGTGTCGCATAGACACTCTAAGCACAGTCGGGGATTTTCTTATGCTGAACTTAGATTCAG